TGAACATCTGACTGTGATTTCATTTTTGAGCCTGCAGTGGATGCCATCAGACATGAAACCAGATTTGGGGGGAAAACTGGCTCTTACCCTGTTACACCTCTAGTTTACTGTTTGATGAAGGAGAAAAGAGCTAAACAACTGGTGAAATATCTCCTGAGGGTTCTTTACATCTCTAGAATGTTACCAAATTTTGTCTAAAACAGAGTTTACAGGGAATTTGAAAGCATAAAGTGAAGGATTTGAAGAATTTCAGGTGAAGCCAAAAATGTTCCCAAAAAGTTTGTCTGATGTCTCATTTGTTGGGGTGTCACATATATGTAGTCACCACACGATGAGCCTCTCAAATCCATGTGAACTGGCAGTTTTCCCCAAGACACCACTGAGTATTTATGGAACACTTTGCATTATTGAGGAAACTGCCATGCTCTGAGAGCTGTTCACATGGAGTAAACTAAAATAGACTGGACTTCACTTCGCAGCTGTAATTTGTGCCTTGCCTATGGTCATACTGCAAGAAGTTGAATCTTTCTAAGGGTGCAAAGGCCTTTAATGCCTAGGCATTTAAAAATTTTTTTCTCCCTGTTTCAAGTATACTGTGTTAAAATCATAATCATTAATCCAATTCATTTGATGATGACATTTACTAATAATAAACAGAGCAAAATAGACAAGGCAGTGATGTTATTGTCCAGTGAAGGGGTGGTATACTTCAGGCCAGATGTGAAAATAGACTTTATTTTCTTGATAATGTAAACTCTTGCAACTATAGGGCTATGTTTTACTTTGGGACCAATAGATTTCAGGAATGAAGGAAATCTGGTCTGTGTATATCAAACTGGAAGGAGTTTTAATGTTGAATCATTTCTGCTTGTTTCACTGTAAAGAGGTAACATGCTCATGTTTTTTTTCATTTTACTTCCAGTACAGATTAGATTTAAAATCCCTTCTTCATGCTGAACTGAGCAGATCCATTTACCTTAAGAGACTTTCTCATCTACTTACTAGCCAATCTGTTTGTATAATGGAGTAAATGCTAACTACAGTGGGAAAATCGAAGATCTGCATTCATTCCATGTCAGTGCAGACTTTTATCTTTTTGGATCAAACTGTGGAAGTGTCAGGTGTTCATGATCTTTGGCAGCAGCCAGCAGCTAATATTATTATGGAATTGTATTGTTGTTTTTCTTCATTCAAAGTTCAAGTACTACTTAGGACACCTAAAGTACTTCAATAGCACTAAGCTTGCTACTGGTATGATTGTTATAATACATGTTAATATAATACATGTTTTAAGAAAGGAAATATCCCATAGCAATATATTGGCTTCCCTCTTTCATGTTTTTGTTTTTTGATGTTTCACATGGGTCTGTATTATAACACTAAGTTATAATACACTAAAAGAGAAACAGGGACAGAGAAAGAAGATACCAATAGAACCTACTGTGGTCTCTGCAAATCCCACATTCCCATTGTGGCTATTGAGATGTATCTTGAGCATTTTAGTAATCTAAATTCTTTTGGAAGCAAGTCCATGGAAAACTGAGTCTAGATCTCCTTAGTACCTCTAGCCCATGAAAGTAGGATGAAGTCCTTTTGTCATCTGTCCAGCTCTTATTGAGAAGAATGACAAAAAACAAAACATAGCAGTGATGTAAATGTTGCTAGACTTACGGTACCTTTCTGTGTTCTGTTGTCTCATTAAAATGAAGTTATTTGAACAAGTGGCTCATTTGCTTGCTTGTACATATATTTCTTCCACACACAAAATATAGCTCAGTAAAATGAAACTGAATCCAAATAAGACAGACGTTCTCTGGTCTGAGAACTGGGTAAAAGCCCTGTTCTGGATGGGGTTGCACTCCCTTTGAAGAAGCAGGTACATAGCTTAGGATTGCTCCTAGACCTTTCCTTGTCACTTGATGGACTCTGTGGTACAGAGCGCTTGACACTAGCTTCAACTGAAGTGCCAGCTACAGCCTTTCCTGGAATGAGAGAACCTAGCCATAGTAGTCCATGTACTGGTAACCTCCCGGCTAGACAACTTTAATGCACTCTATGTGGGGCTACCTTTGAAGAAGATTTGGAAGCTACAGTTAGTGCAAAATGCAACAACCCGACTTCTGACTAGAGTAACATATTGACATCCTATCATGCCAGCCTTAAAAGAATTGCACTGACTGCCAATACATTTCTGGTTTGAATTCAAGGTGCTTGTATGACTTTTAAATCCTGAATGGCTTGGGACCTCAATACTTGAGGGAGCGCCTCTCCCCATATGTGCCTGCCTGAGGACTATGTTCTGCTGGTGGGGGGAATCCTCTGCGTCCTACCATGATGTCAATACATTGTGCTGGGAGGGACATGGGAGAGGGCCTTCTCAGCTGTAGTACTCCAATTGTGAAATGCCCTCCCCATGGAGGCCCAACTGGCACCAACATTCATGTAATTTAGGCACCAAGTTAAAGCATGGCTGTTTATTTGGGACGAGTTGACTCGTCCCAAATACAGTATGGTGTACATAGTTTTGCAAACTTACACATATTTTGAATCTATTTTTAACTTATTACTGAACAGGATGGGACCTTATTGTCCTGCAGAATAACACTTGCATTGTAAGCAAATAAAAGCTTAGGATGCCATGTTAAGTGGTTAATATTCAAGTGAAAAATCACTAACCAGATTAAAAACCAGATCAGGGATGTGACTTGCTCAAACCAATTGTGAGAGATTAAGGAGTAACTTAATTGTATTAACTAAACTGATGGACTTACATTTGAATTTGAGCATTAATT